ATGGCCGACACTTCTGACAACTGCTGCCAAAAACGACCGGCAGGCAACCTCAGTCGGCTCATTCCTTCTTTCTTTCTTTCCTTTTCTTTCTATCTATCTATCTATCTATCTATCTATCTATCATCTTGTTTATTTTTTCGTTCATTTTTTATAATTCAGCATTTTGTTTTTTTCTTCCTTTCTCGCTGTTTCCTCTCTATTTTTGTACCCTTATTTTTTTTTTCTATATTTTCTGTCTTCTCAAACTTCTTCTTTTCTTTCATCCACCTTTTTGCGATTATTCTTTCTTTCAATTTGCATTTCGCTATCTCTTTCTTTGGTTCTTTTGTATTTTCTTTATATTTTCTTCTTTCCTTTCTTGTTTTTCGCTTTTCTAGGTGTTTTCTTCTTTGAACTCTCCTTTTTACATTTCCTTCTTTCTTTCTTTCTAGCTGTCTCTTTCTTTTTCTTTCTTTTTTAAATCGTTCTTTCTTTTCAATCAGAATTTCTTTCTTTCTTCATCATTTTCCATCTTATTTAATTTATCGGCAATTTCTTTCCTTCCTTCATTCCTTCCTTCATTCATTCCTTTTTTTCCTTCCTTCCTTCCTTCCTTTCTTCTTTCATTCCTACATTCCTTTATTCCTTCCTTCCTTTTTTCCTTCCTTCATTCCTTCCTTCCTTTCTTCTTCCCTTCATTTTTTCCTTCTTTCCTTCCTCCCTTCATTTCCTCCTTCCTTTTTTCCTTCCTTCATTCCTTCATTCATTCTTTCTTTCCTTCCTTCCTTCCTACCTTCCTTCCTTCCGTCCTTCCTTTTTTCTTTCATTCCTCCCTTCCTTCATTCCTCCCTTCCTTCATTCCTTCTGTTTTCCTCCTTCCTTCCTTATTTCCTTCATTCCTTCCTTCATTCCTTCCTTACTTCCTTCCTTCCTTCCTTCATTCTTTCCTTTCTTTTTCCTTCCTTCCTTCATTCCTTCCTTCCTTCCTTCATTCATTCATTCATTCCTTCCTTCATTCCTTCCTTACTTCCTTCATTCTTTCCTTCCTTTTGTCCTTCCTTCCTTCATTCCTTCCTTCCTTCATTCCTTCCTTCCTTCATTCATTCCTTCCTTCCTTCCTTCATTCCTTCCTTCCTTCATTCCTTCATTCCTTCCTTCCTTCATTCTTTCCTTCCTTTTTTCCTTCCTTCCTTCATTCCTTCCTTCCTTACTTCCTTCCTTCATTCATTCTTTCCTTCCTTTTTTCCTTCCTTCCTTCATTCCTTCCTTCCTTCATTCATTCATTCCTTCCTGCCTTCATTCCTTCCTTACTTCCTTCCTTCCTTCCTTCATTCTTTCCTTCCTTTTTTCCTTCCTTCCTTCCTTCATTCATTCCTTCCTTCCTTCCTTCATTCATTCCTTCCTTCCTTCATTCCTTCATTCCTTCCTTCCTTCATTCCTTCCTTCCTTCATTCTTTCCTTCCTTTTTTCCTTCCTTCCTTCATTCCTTCCTTCATTCATTCCTTCCTTCCTTCATTCATTCATTCCTTCCTTCCTTCCTTCCTTCATTCATTCCTTCCTTCCTTCCTTCCTTCCTTCATTCCTTCCTTCATTCCTTCCTTCCTTCCTTCCTTCATTCTTTCCTTCATTTTTTCCTTCCTTCCTTCATTCCTTCCTTCCTTCCTTCATTCCTTCCTTACTTCCTTCCTTCCTTCCTTCATTCTTTCCTTCCTTTTTTCCTTCCTTCCTTCATTCCTTCCTTCCTTCATTCATTCCTTTCTTCATTCCTTCCTTCCTTCATTCATTCCTTCCTTCCTTCATTCTTTCCTTCCTTTTTTCCTTCCTTCCTTCATTCCTTCCTTCATTCATTCCTTCCTTCATTCCTTCCTTCATTCCTTCCTTCCTTCATTCATTCCTTCCTTCATTCCTTCCTTCCTTCCTTTTTTCCTTCCTTCCTTCATTCATTCCTTCATTCCTTCCTTCATTCTTTCCTTCCTTCATTCCTTCATTTCTTCTTTTTGTCTCCTTGCTTTTTTTCCTTCCTGCATTCCTTCCTTCCTATTTTTTTCCCTTTCTTGACTGTCGCTCTCTTTATCTGCCAGATTATTTTCTTGCAAAGAAGATTCATTTTCGCGTGAAACAATCATTTCTTTCTCATCTTTAAATCATTTAACACGGTTATGAAAAGCACGGTTATCTAAATGTTTAGACTTTATTCGTGTATCTTTAGCGCAGTTGTAAATCCTTAGAAATCAAATTGCATTGTCGAGATACAATTGTGAGTCCTTCATAGGATTTTGAGGAAGTAGGTTTACTTGACTTTGCCCAGCTCCTTTCCATGTAACATTTGACAGGTTGTTCGTGATTATATGACACCAGCAGCAGAGAATTTCAGGATTTGATACTTGGTTCCATGTCTTTCCAGATGACATTAATGCAATGTGAACTTTAAACACTTTTCTTTTTCTTTCGTCCTTTTTTTTGGTTGTTTTTTTTTTCTTTTTCATTCATTTATTCATTCTTACTTTTTGTCTTCATTCTTTTTCATTCACTTAATCATTCTTTTTCCTTTCTTTTTCATTCATTTATTCATTCTTTCCTTTTCATTTCTTTCTTTCTTTAGTTTTCTCTCTTTTTCATTCATTAATTTATTCATTCTTTCTTTCTTTTTGTCCTCTTTTTTCATTCATTATTCATTCTTTCTTTTTCCTTTCTCTCTTTTGTTTTCTTTCTTTTTCATTCATTCATTCTTTCTTTCTTTCTTTAAATCTAAATTCATCCGCATTTTATGTATGGGAGCAGATATACGATAAATATTTCATCAACAAAAAATTCATATATTATAAACTATAATAATTATTTCAAAGTCCGTGTCACTTTCGAAAAAAAGCTTATATTTATTTCTATGGAATACAACTTTATAACTTTTATTATATAACGTATTTTCCAACACCGCTATCTGAGGGGGGGGTGGATATGACTTTCGGTGGATACTTAAAACCGAACCTATCTATTCTTTAGATATGTATTTCTCATACATACACACCTATGTATGAGGAAATTTAATTTATAAATTCGGCACAATAAAAGATTAGCAGCAATATCTAAGAATCAAAACTTAGAACAATATATATTCTATACAATGAAACTTTTACCACTCATCTGAGGGGTAAAAATTTCAAACAGCTGTAATGCTTTCTTAACGAATTAGTTGTATAAATTACTTTCTTATAGATTTAGTTGTATAGAATACATTCTTATAGAGTTGTATAGATTACTTTCTTATAGATTTAGTTGTATAGAATAAATTCTTATAAAGTGTATAGAATACTTTCTTATAGAGTGTATAGAATAATTTATCATAGACTTCCATACATTACTTTCTTATAGAGTTAGTTGTATAGAATAAATTCTTATGGAGTTGTATAGAAAACTTTCTTATAGGGTTGTATAGATTACTTTCTTATAGAGTTCTATAGGATAGTTTCTTATAGATTTCTATAGATTACTTTCTTATAGTTAATTGTATAGAATATATTCTTATAAAGTTGTATAGATTACTTTCTTATAGAGTTGTATAGAATAATTACTTATAGAGTTGTATAGATTACTTTCTTATAGATTTAGTTGTATAGAATACATTCTTATATAGTTGTATAAATTACTTTCTTATAAAGTGTATAGAATAATTTCTTATAGATTTCTATAGATTACTTTCTTATAGAGTTAGTTGTATAGAATACATTCTTATAGAGTTGTATAGAATACTTTCTCATAGGGTTGTATAGATTACTTTCTTATAGAGTTCTATGGATTACTTTCTTATAATATTAATTGTATAAATTAATTTGTCATAGATTTAGTTGTATAGAATACTTATAGTGTTGTATGGGTTACTTTCTTATAGAGTTAGCTATATAGAACACTTCCTTACAGAGTTAGTTATGTAAATCACACATGCAGAAAATATTGCTAATGTAATTGCAAAAATATGACTGTCATTTTTATGGTACAAATAAAGTAAGGTTCTGATAAAAATAGTGATAAAAGATTCATTTTTACCATAAATCCTATCAACCTCACTATATTGATTTTTCTTTGGTTTTTCATTGAGCAGAAATCTTTCGCCTTTTCTTTTAAAGGAAGCACTTTATGACTTGCGCTTTGGGATCATTATAAAATATAACTCATGAATTGTTTATTTTGACGGGTTGATATCCGGTAACGGGTTGATATCCGCTAACGGCTACAACGATAAATGAAACTACGGATAAAGAGGACTAAAACAAAGAAAAAAATTACAAAACCTAAAAACATTTGAAAATCGGTTGCGTTTTATAAAAAATATGGTTTATTCAAACCGAAATCCAGGACATTTGCTTTTTCTTCATTTTTTAAACTTCATTTTCTTACATTTATAATTGAAGCATCTTGTCTAATTATTTCTAAAATTTATTTTGTAATATTTCTGGCAAACTTGGAACTTCGTGCCCCCCCCAAAAAAAAAAAAAAAAAAAAGTGCCAAAACAATGGTCTTTCCCTAGACACCGCTGTTATTTTAATTACCCTCACTCCTCGGCAATGTTTATTCTTTCAAAAAACGATTATTAGAATTTGAATAAAACCGTAACATATGCAAGTAAATTTATATTTTTTCTTTGTTCTTAAGAATTGACAACAAAAATGCTAAACACTATTTATTTATTAGATTGTTTATCGAAATGGTTGGAAAACATTGGCTAATTGCCAATTGATTTATAAAATGGTAAAAAAGGAATTCCTTATATTTGGTTCACATATTAATTAATTTGTTTTCATTATAAATTGGTAAATGATAAATATTATATTGAATTAGTTCTAATTGTATTAGTTTTTAGAATGCTGTAAATATATATTTTTTTTCTCGTAAATAAACAATCTAATCGATATTGTATAATAGTTTTGTTGTAAATTCTCAAGAACAAAAAACATGTATGAACTCACGTGCATCTCATGTTTGGACTTCATTAAAATTCTAATCATCATCTTTTAGAACAAGAAACATTTTAAAGAAAGGAAAGCAATGAAAATAATAGCAGTGTCAACGAAAAAATCGTGGTTTTGTGGTCACGAATTACAAGTTTGCCTTATTTCTTTTTCTATCGACTTTCATTGTTAGGCATATGTTGAGCCTGTTGAACAAGAAAACAATGCGTATCACTTTAGTACGTATCAAAACTGACAGAACCATCAAAACTTCTGATTTCATTCAATGCAATGAATTCAATTCAAGACACACATAGAAAAAGAAGAGAAAATTAGAATACTAATTACAATATAAGCGTTATATTTAAAACTAGTTAAACATTTAAGCTGGCTCCTGCGGGGTGCTAATTAGGCCTCCGTCCCCACACCAAAGAGACCTCTGGTCCAGTTTAGAAAGCAGAAATGATAATTTTAAAGAAATAATTTTGGATTCCTCAATTCATTCCATGGAACTTCGAAACCCACCTTAAATTCTGATTCGGGCTATAAATACAATTCCGGCCAAGAGACCGATTTCAGCCGAAATTCCAATTCAGATTGAAAATTGAGTTCTTCAAATCTTTGCGGAAGATCAAAACCTCACGTCACGAAATCTTTCTCTTTAACTCTAATACCTTAGCATTTTGAAGAAATAAAATTAATTTCCTCAATTTACAAAGTTTTGGAAATATTTTAAACTGTTTAAAACAAAACAAAATTAAATTCGCAAAGTTTTGTGTTACTTTAAACTCAATACAAATTAAAACTCTTAAAATCACTAATTTTTTTTCAGTTATTTTAAAATTTGAATTTATAACTATTCCTTCCACACCCGAACACAAATCCCAATGCTAGATGTTCAAGCACCAGATGAAGGGTAGTTTTTCAATCCCGGAGTCATTCTGATTCGGGAAAGGTATAATATGTCTATATAGAGAAATTGTGGACAGTGTTAGAGGGGTTTCAGTCAGACCGACTGACAGACAGAATTTGTCGATTATTTCTTTAGAGAAATAAATTATTTAATAATAAAAGATTACAGAATACCATCTCCATATATTCAATAGCGAAGATTGTCGCCGGGACAGCTAGCCTTAGGTGGTTGCATTTTACAGAAAAAAGAAAGATATTTAAACTCTGTACATTCAGGATTTTGAGATCACCAAGTGCTAGTTCGGATATTGATTGTAAAGTCCGAGATAGGAACTACGAATTAGTGATGTCAGCATCAAACGTAGTTCGGATAATGGTTGTAAATCCCGAGATAGGAACTACGAATTAGTGATATCAACATCAAAAGTAGTTCGGATATTGGTTGTATAGCCCGAGATAGGAAATAAGATCTAGTGATATCAGCGTCAAACGTATTTCGGATATTGGTTGTAAAGCCCGAGGTAGGAACTACAATTTAGTGATGTTATCATCAAACAATTACAGATGATGAAACATCTGGGAAGTGTTTGCAGAGGACATAAAACGTGACACCGAAATCCGAAGACGCTTTCTAATCGTTAAATACGCCATCCATGCTCAAAGCAAAGTAATGAGAAACAGGAAATTTTAATACGAAACAAAAAACAAAACAAAACAGGGCTTAGCTTTTATGTAATATCAATCCTAATATATGACAGAGAATGCTGGACATTCGCTGTAGAGATGAAGAGAAAACTGGAGAAAACAGAAAGATCCTGAGAATAACGAAGAATTATTAAGGAAAATGAAAGCCGAAGGGACACCTGCTGAGAATCAGAAAATCTCAGATGACATTTCTTGGACATGTAATGAAGAAGGAGGGCTTGGAGAATTTAGCACACACAGGGCACATCGAAGGCGTATGGGATAAGATGAAGCAGCAGTTCACTTGCCTGAGCAGCATGTGTGAATGGCTAGCGAAACAGAGTGTAGAAGAAATGGCAAATAGATAAAAGTTACTAAGAGCTACAAGGGATAGGAAATTGGGGAGAGTCATGAGTGTCCAGGTCATGCAATGACACGGATATACACAGAAAACTTTATCAATTGCTTCATTAACTATGCTGCAAATAACTGGATGGCATCACCAAATTATTTAGTATATTGTAGTAACTATCCTCTTAGATGGTTGTCAACAAAAGATCAGCACAAGTTGTGAGCCACGTGCTGGGGATGTCGAAATCAAGTAGAGGTAGAAATTTACACTGTGTAGTGTATTAACACGTGATGGAAAATGTAACACAGAAATCCGATAGCAAAAGATGCCTTCCAGAAACTAAGTATTAAGACAGAAGCATGCACTAAAAAAAAACAAAGAAAAGAGTGCTGAACTATATTATAATATCTCCGCTAGAAGTAAATAGTTTTGCCTATGGTCCGGTTCACACTCCTCCCCGGTCTTTCGAACAGGAGTAGAGGTTTATCTCTTATTTCCTGTTTAATATTGTGTTTCCGGTTCCTTCTAAATTCTACTACAACTCTATACCTCTCACGTCTCCGCCTGAGCTCTGAAATGCTATATTCGATTTGCTTTACTCCTCAATAGGAGTAGATAGGTTCGCCTATATCCCGATTCATACTCGTCCCTGGTCTTTCGAACAGGAGTAGATGTTTATCCCTTGTTTCCTGTTTAAGATTGGGTTTCCGGATCCTTCTAAATCCTTCTTCAACGATATACATCTAACGTCTCCGCCTGAATTTTTTCTCTTCAATAGGAGTAGATAGGTTCGCCAATCCTACGATTTCATACTTCTCCCAGGTCTTTCGAACAGGAGGAGAGTTTTATCCCTTTTCCTTTTAAGATTGTATTTCCGGTTCTTTCTAAATGATTTTCAAT